AGCGTGAGCGGCCAGCAGCCGCAGTGAGCGGCCGTCCGGAAGCCAGCGACTGATCTGCCTTGCCCAGGAAGAGTGCAATGATGGTGCCAACTTGGGCCAGTGAAGCAACGTCCTCCACAACTAGACTGAAGAACAAAACGACAACAACTTGTCTGTTCCCCCTCCCCCAATTCCCCAATAAAAATCTTTAAAAAAAAAAAGCAAACTTGTGAAGGTTTCGAAGTCAAAATGACATTCAGGCAATACCTAGTAAATTGACAAATGTTTCTAAAAGTCCAAAGATTATTTCTAAAGTGTAAGTCAGTTCTTTATACATGTGAAAAACCCTCAGTTCTTTTATATTCTTTCTGATTTTTTTGTCCAGTTGTTTTATCAACTGTTGGGAGAGAGGTGTTAAAGATTTCAACTATAATTGGGAATTTGTCTAATTCTTTTTTCAATTTTATCATTACTTCACATATTTTGCAGCTGTATTTTGTAAATTCTATTGGAAAATAAACTTTTACTTACTAGAAATGAGGTGGTCAAAAATAATTTGAAAAGGGAGTCCAAAGGGAGTCCAAAGTTAGAATTAAAAATTCTTTAAGATTACCGAAGGAGAAAGACAGAGCATCAGTGGCAATACTTAATGATTAAGATTTGAAAGTCATGCTTAGGGATGAAAAGGAAACCAGGGAATTGACCTCAGTTATTTCCACAGTCAGAAGATTGGGAGCTGGACTGAATGACCCAAGTACCCTTCTGAACACTGAGGTTCTTTGATTTACTGAAATTCCTTCCAAAATTGCCTTGGACTCAACTACATTAGGTGAGTTAGAATCTCTCAACAACATTGGCTGGCTAGAGGTAGACATATTGTTAGAAGTTGTTACCATCTACCCAGGAATTTGGAAGTAACTTGTAGATGTAGTAGTAATTTCATTTTGTCAATAATTATTAGTCCAGCCATGGCTAGGAGAGGCCCAAGGTAATCCACTACAGTGAGTTTCAGTCCAGACTAGGGAAGGTGTGTGTGTGTTGTGGGGTGGGGGGAGTGGAGGGTGAATAAAATAGAATAATGGCTCATTGAATTCTTCAGCAAATCTAGCAATTTGAGGAAAAAGGCAACATGATTGGTGTGGAGAGAAATCATGCTTTGGGTGACCCATTGGAGTTCTTTTAGATAATAGGCAATGGAACAGATAAGGAGGGTTCAAATCACTGTACTTTATTCAGACTTTCAAAAGTCTTTCATGAGGCTACAAAAAAAAGTGAGCCTTCATGGGATTTGGATAACATTTTTCATGGAAAGAAACCTTGATTCCTATTTGACCTTGACCTTGAGTA